TACTTTATATAGGTTTGTACAAATCTGTATATGCTGTTTATCAAATTCAATACTACTTAATTTTAATGTTTATCTTAAAGCACTGTGAACAGGAACTATTCTTTTCCAGCATACCTCAGTCTTCATATACAGGCATCACTTCCGAGGCAGACATATTCTGGAGTTGGCCTTTTTCACTTTGTAAGCCTTGTCTTCTGTTCTTTCAGACATATTGTCAATTGTAATGATAGTTCTTCTAAGATTAGTTCCTTAATCCACCAAAAACCAAACAGATCTGACTTCATGTAAGAAAGAAAGCATTTACCACAAGGTAATTTTCAATTGCTTTAGTACTTAGCCAGACTTTAATTGGTGATTCATTTATAGAAGCCTTCTTAACACCAGACTTCTAAGCTATTAATTGTCCTATCAGTTCTGATGTAAGTGCACTAACAGGATGCTCCTAAAAACCTGCCCACAGTGGACACCAAACTCTTAGTGTAGGCACACCCATAGTAAGCATTCTCTGGATTCATCTAAGTCACGACCTACCAGTCTCCAGGACTAAATTCTAGAAAAGTAGTGTAATGAATTGAAACGTCTTCCTACTTCATTGCTAAGAGCCCCTCAGGTATCACTAAGCATATTTCATTATGCCCAGGTCTCCCCTAAAGACAACTATTTCTTCCTTTATATATAGTTTCTAGTATAGGAATGGCAGAAATCACCCCCAACTTTCACTTTTAAGCAAGTGAAAAGCTCTAATTTTACCCACAGTGGACTGACAGACTGTCAGCATTGTTCACAAGAGACAGGATACAAAAAGGACAGATCAAGTCCAAATTTGAACTTCTTATATTGGAATGTAAATGTAGACAATGTTCAGACCAACGCAATAAAAGACACAGTCTTCTCATCTGTGAGACTGTGAAAACAAAATATTAATAATAATTTTAACAGAGTTGGAAGGGAGGGATGGCAGAAGGCTGATCTGTTTTCCTTCTACTAGATAGATAGCATGAGCAATGTGGCAGTGGGCTGAAGGCCTTGTGAAGACACAGCTTGCTCCAGCATGTACACATGGGAAGAAGGCGCACCACTTCATAAATCAGCAAAAGATTAACGAACTATTAGAAGTTTGCTTTCTGGCATCCTTTTTCTCCCCAGAGTATAAGCAAAAACCTGCTAAAACGTCAGTTTAAACCACACCGGCTTAATCTTACCCACTGCCTCAGCCCAGGCCTCGTACCTAGCTCTGTCCAAACGCTCCCGCCACCCTGCCAGCCTGTCGCTAGTGCCGGCTTCTTCAAGCCGCACATACGCCTGGAGCTGCTCCCATAGAGCTGCTCCCATCTCGTACCCACTTCACAGACAAGAGCAGTTAAGCCCGTCTCGTCACGGCGTAAGAAAAGCTGCCGAGTGCCTGTTTGGCGAGCCCCGGCAGGCACACCGCGGGCCCTGCTCCTCGGGGAGGCGGCGAG